CAGTCACATGATGGATTTGAAATAGCCAGCACAGCACAAGTGACTAGTAATTACTCCGGAATTTCCCAACATACTCACTTCCATTGAAGATTAAAAAAAAAATAGCCTGTCCACTTTAATTTACCGCTTTCACTTTTTCCCCTTCCTCAAATTAAAAGAAAATTTAGCTAGTTACTTCATCCTAAGGTAAAGCCATGGTTTAAGCAGCCAAAGAACCAGAATCCAACTAGCAGTGAGGCTTTGAGAATTGTTTCTTATGCCATGAATTTCTCATTTCCAAAAATTAAATCACAAAAACATCTTCAAAACACCTTTTCATGGACATTATTTTATTCATTTTAACATAGGAATTCTTGGTTTGATTAACTGTTTACTAAAAGTTGCTCTTTCAATTTTCAAAAGAGGCACCATAAAATTGCTATTACTGATGAGGAACGTACAAAAGGACCCTAAAGATTCTGTTAAATCTAGTTTGGCTGTGTAGAAATGTGGCAATCAAAAAGGATAATAGCCCTTGTATGTGACTGCAGGCAATAACTACCATCCCAAGGCTGCCAAGAACATGACTGTTTTTATGAGGTAGTTAAAGCTTCATTAACCTCTTCATGCCTGAAACATGTATACTACATTAGTGCCATCCTGAATAAATTAAAAGACATGAAAATAAATAACATGGGAATACAAAGAGCAGATTAACAAAAGGCCACTATAGTTTCAGCCTGTCATTGAAAAAATCTGGGACCAGCAAGAACAGGAAGAGGCTGAAGGAGCAGCAATAAAATAGGGAAGACCAGACTGAAGGATGGTCAGGGTGTTAGGAAAAATTTTGCAGTTAGAAAAGTATGTTATAGTCAGGCTTTTATTTTTCCTAGAATTCAGTGGTCAGAACAGACAAAAAACCTAAAAGAAAAATATGACTATCTTTGTTTGTAACTTCTTGGACGGTTTTGATCATAACCCTCTGATGATCTGAGGCTTGCACTTCTCCCATTTCAGAAACCCTCCTAGACTTAAAAAAAATCTGCGATACAACCCAGATCTTGGATGCAGAAATGGATGGGGGCTTTATTGTATATGCAAGTTTTCCTGTACATAGAAGTAAACCTAGAACATCAAAAAGTTCATGGACGCTTTTGGCTCACCCTTAGCCTGGTAGACAGCATTCCCATCAGCAAGTCTGGAATTTGGTTTCCAATAAGTATTTCCATTACTGGTGGTATCAAAAGCACAGTTCTACATGCCTGTTAGTATTTAAAATTGGTTTGGGCTGCTTAATGTAAATCTTTTTGTTACCATAAGGAACACAAAACCAGCATATATGCAAAGGCACAGGTCATGAAAGGCACACGTTTCCTGCGCAAGGAAGGGCACAGATTAATTCCATATGTAAAACAGTGTGGTAAATACTACAGTACCCAGCCTATTATTACATCTATGAGTCTAGCATTGAGACCCTTCTAATTCATGCACCCCTGCATTCCATGGATGCACTCTACATTACTAACCAGCCAAACAAAAAACCCCAGTGAGCCCTCTTCCTTTAACATCACCATATAAAAGAACCCTCTGCTGAAGAGCTAAGTCTCATGAATGGATTTGGATCCAATCCAAACGATCTGGAATTTGTCTCTACCTATCTGGGCATCTCTGCTAGACATGCTTACATCTAACAGGCCCAATTAACAAGCCTGGTTTAAATCACAGGTGATAGGCAAATGGGTATGTATCTAACTTGTAACAGCTGGCACAATCATTGCAAAGAAGTAACAGTATGAAAAGAAATTTACTTCCCATGCCAACAGCAAATAGGAGATTCAAATTAGCATACATGTGCACACATTTCGAAGTTCTGCAGCCAAGCCTTCTAATCAAAATGTTGAGGAAACACACCTGCTCTCCAGAGGCATCTTCTCACAATGGCAATGATGACAAACAAGGACAGTAGTTACGAATTTTTTTTATTATTTTTCTCATGTTAATTCAGTCCAAACAACAGATGTATTCCAAACATTTAAAAGAAAAAATGAATTTGAAAAACATTAAAATTGACATACACGTGAACAAAATGAGATTGTTTTTAGAAACTACATTCTTTCTTAAGACTTAATCTTTAATCTTTTGCCTTAATCTTTCACCCAGAAGAGAGACTACCAGTTCCACAGATTACTTTATCAGTGTAGACCCCATACTCTGACAGGCGACTTACAGTCACTACTTACAGTCAGGTCTGAATGCAAAACACAACAATCAAGAGCCAGTAGCATTTCCTTATATATCACCCAAGCAACACAGGAGACAACTTGCTGGGAGATTTCAAAGGGCATTTTACCAATGTCAGGATACTCTGTACACAAGTCCCTGCCCAGCCTGACTCATGCTGCATCCACACTGACATTCCCTGCATTCGCCCTGTCACAGCATTCCCCTTGCCAGAGCTCCAGTGCTGGCAGCTGCTCTAGACTGGCAGCTGACATTTTAAATGCTATGTAAAACCTCTGGCAGCTCCCTTTGCTGCTGCCAAAGGTAAAGCTACATTAATTCATGCAAGAAGGAGCTAGCAACCCCCACAGCAGACTAGCCCTTAAAGCCCAAGAAAGCTGCAGATGTTTGGGGACAGACAGCCTATTGCAAAATGAGGACAAGGTTGAGCTTGGAGAGCCACAGAGCCAGCAGCAGTTTTGAGACCAAGCCTCACAACAGCTATGCACATACTACCTAAAAGCTACTTTAGAGATTTCTCACTGCAGGACACTCTGAGCCCCTACCATTGTGGGGACACAATGTTTGCTATGCAGACTGCACAAGCAGGAGGATACAGGGCTGCAGACACATGGCCCTCCTGTGATGGACAGAAGGGAGCCCTGGCACGAGGAATGACCACAGATGAAAAGCAACTCCCCTCCTCCTAGCAATCCTAAAACAGTTGTAAAATAACCCAGCCTACCCCAATACTCCTCAAAATACAAAGTTCCTCCCGTCACCAGTGGAAGAAACTTATTGGCGAAGGCACAGAGCAAAGCAGAAAGAGTGGTGTCAAGCACTGTCAGTAAGCAGCATTCATGGAGAAATGCAAAGAGAGGTGACAGCCCCCTCCTGCTTTCTGCCCCCGCCCCAGTAGAGAAGGCTGGCAGGTCTCTACTCCTGGGCAGTGCAGAGAGGTCAAAGGTAGGCCACACCACAAGGCAGCCCAGGGCACAGATCCTGCTGCAGGTACTGCCCTTGCGCTCAAAGCCATGAGACAGCACATGCAAAAGATGCCAAGTGCTGCACTTGCTTCCCTCCCCTCAGTGAGGGGATGGGGTGAGGCCCAAGCAGCTGTGAGCTACCGCTTTACACTGATAATCATGACACCTTACAAAGAAAATGTGAAGAAAACATGTTTCATCCAGGGGAATGCCACCTAGGATTTTAAATCTGGGATGAAGGAATGTTCCCTAGGTGCTAGGGCTTGCTGAGGATGGGAAACCACTTCCTGCTTGCCCAAAGAGCTGTAAGCAGTATAATTAGCACTTGCTCGTAATATTAAATGTCACCAGATTTAATCTGAACGGTCACTGCGAACCCCTAACGCAAACCTGAACTATTTAACTCCCATGGACCCAAAGGCAGCTATAAATATTTTGAGTGTCCATACTGAGAGCAGCCCCATGTGAAGCTAAGCTACTCCGTTATTTTTGCACATTACTTAGTGTTGCCTTTTCACTCTTACGGTGACTCTCCAAGAGCAATCCTCATGCGTGGTAAGTGTTAATTCAATGTTTTTAAATATACTGGCTATGTCACTGTGAGCTTTTTTTGAACCTCTGAAATAACCGAACCACTTTGGTGACTGACATTACCATCACGGTATGCATTCAAGGCAACTCTCCTTTCTTCTTGCTTTCCCACACGTAAGCCTTTGCTAGGTTGCTATGCATAGAGATGCCTTCCCCCCGCTACCCCCCAGCCTTAGAGGAGGGGGTTAGATAACATTTTAGCCCATATTCCAGAAAGGATGTATGCAGTACACTCTACTAGTCTGCACATTTAAAAAGACAGCAGATTTCCAAGCTACTGCACACATTTTAGATAGAAGAATTATAGTCTGGCCATGAGCCTAAGCCAGCAAACTCCGTGTGAGATTTGCTTGGATCTCACAAACTCTACATGATACCAGCCCACATCTGTTTCCAAACTCTCACCGCACAAAGGGGAAGCTGGCCTGCCAGTGCATGTGTTTTACTCCCAATGACACCAGGAAGGTTTTGACAAGTGCATCAAGAGGTCAAACACCCTGGAACTGTGTTTTGTTTAGACTAATAATGCTAGAAACTGCTCTGTAGTTTTAAGTACACAATGTTGAAAATCTTAAGTCAAGCTGATACAAGAATTCAGTGTTAATAAAGGAATCCATGGTCCTGCAAAATTCTTTGCAGGATTTCTATTTCTCTTTACAACTGTAATTTCAGCTTCAAACCCATTTGGGAATTCATACATAAGAATAATGCTGTCATAGAAAAGAAAACTAACTTCTTAAGCTAATATCTGAACACTCACTATCCTGAAACCAGAGTATGAAGATAATTTTAAACAAAAATGTCAATGAATCTTGGCTGCTTATTTATAATTAATTAAAATAATCCCCTATTGGTTTTGATTAAAAAGGTCTTGGCATGAATTACAGTGCCAGAGGACAGAAAAGCACTTGCATGCGCATAAAGATTATAGCAGAAAACACTATTTAAGAACAGCAGAACACAATGTTTAGCACTGAACATAAGACTGAGGTTTTTTCTTAATCTTGTGAGGTTGAACTTCAGAGGGCTGCTCACCTACCTACTAGACCTACAAGACTATCTACTACAATGGTCTTAAAAGTTTACTTTTTCCATAGTAAATCTCCTACTTAAAGCTTTAATTTCCCACAGCATTCTCAACTCTTAGAAATAGATTTTTTTTATTTCCTCAAATTCTGCATCCACTTCTTTAGACATGGAAGACTATAATCTTTTTTTTTTTTTAAGATACAGATCGTAGAAAAGTATTTGATGATTCCTTATCTTCAAATTAATACTTTGATTCCAGTGCTTAACACATTCAAGAAACGGTCCAAAATGCTAAAATATAAAAGCCCCTTTCTAACAACAGTTACAGAAGAATTAAAAATAATCAGTGTTCCCTTTTTAAAGATCTCAGTTTGCCCTTTTACCTTTTATTGGCCTGCTTCATATTTAGGGAGCTAAGAGCAAAGAAATGGAAATCCAGCAAAAAAAGCACCTTTAAAGATGCAGAATTCTATACTTGTCCCTTCTTTACGCTGTACTAATTCTACTTTTGTCCCTAATAATTCTCCCCTGTTCTCCCCTCATCCTACCTTCACTCCATCCATACAAGGGCCAATTTTACTGGTTTGTTTGTTTTTTTTTTCTTTTCCTTATTGCAAGGACTGGATAGTGCAGTCAGTAGGCTGCAGATTTTCAGAGAAAATGCTTCAAAACTTCCTGTGCAATTCCAGAAAAGTTATTTGAGGCTCAAACAGCAAAGTAACCAGCAGCACAATGAACTGCTGGATTGTGATACCGTGAACTTTCACGCATCTCTTCTTCTGTCAGTAGATGTGGACTTGCCAAAGATTGAAAAGGGGACAGGTCTTCAGCTGGTTTTCCTTAAAGTGCTAACAATGCAGAAGAGCTCTAAAAGAACACTGCATCAGCATTGGCTACATTTCTACTGCTGGCAAATACAGAATGGCTATGTCATTTTGATATTCATTAGCAACTTGCCAAGGGTTGCAAACTTCAGGTTTGGAGGGGTTTTTTGGGTTTTGTTTTTGTGGGTTTTTTGTGGGTTTGGTTTTTTTTGTTTTGTTTTTTTTTAACAGAACAATACAGAAGAAAACAAGCACTGCAATGCTGGTTCTACAAATAAGACCACCAACCTCTGAAACAGGAAATGGATCTCCCACCAACAGTGTAATTGAAAAATCAAAACTGAAGTGTTTCAGAGAAGACATCCCAAATCAATGGTATTAGTCTACACAATCCTCTTTACGTAGGCCTTCTATTTCAAACAGGTAGGATAATATTACTTTGGGAAAGATAACATCAGATTGTATTCTGACATTTACCTGTTTTCTTAAGATTTTGCACCCCTGGAGTTCTTAGCGTACAACTGTGCATATGAAAGAGCTACATGGCAGCCCTCCCTCCGTTCAGTTATTAAAACTTTTTTCACTATTTGTCAAATCTTGAATACAGGTGTTGGGACAGGAGTGTATGAATTCTTACAGAGAAGGAGAAATGATTAAAGCGTGAACTTTAAACAGACTGTGGAGAGGGGGAGGTATCCCGTTCCCACAGACTTATTTAAAAGCTCATCATCTCTTATAATGAAAGCCTGCTTTTTACTGTAGCATACCAATGTTGCACAATGATACTTCCATTAATATGATGCATACGTTAGTGTGTTAAGTACTGTATTGACTAAAACCAGCCAAGCGTCATTGACTGAAAACTGACACACTTCAGCACTTGTGATGCTCATTAATGCATCTCTGAACAATAGTTTGACAATCAACAGCCTAAGAAATTTACCTGTAACTGCAAATAAAGCATAATTTTTAGTCTGAGAGACCAATTTTTATTCTTCACACTAATAACAAGTTAAACCTGTGGTATGTTAAATTAGTCTTTACATAAGGCTAGGATTCCCTTCATGAAGCTTGAATTCTGAATATTCCTCTTTAAGAAGTCTCACATAAAGAGATTAAATACTGTAGCATCCACAAATTACAAAACCTCCTGAAGATTTAATTATTAACTAGAGATTATTACTCCATTAAAGATGTTTCATGCACAAATGCTACACTAGATGTTTGCACAGTTTTAAAGGTTGGCAGGAGGATCTAACAGAGTATTTTTTAAAAAAACAAACTCCTGATTCTTATCTAGTAGACACATATTTGTGGTAGCTACCTCTTTATCCCAATAGAACAATATATTTTAAAGTCATCGAGTCCCATAGCTTTGCCCTTGTTAAGCACAAATGGCAGTAAAAAAAAACCCATAAGAACATTAGAAAGTCAAAAGAAGTTTCAGAAGTAACACCTCTGAAAGCTTCTCGTTCCTGGATTCCCTACAAAACAGAGGAAGAATCCCCCAAGTTCCAGAGATTCTGGTGTGTGTCCCCCCCCCAAAAAAGGGCGGGGAGGGAAGTAACACCAGGCCCACCAGTCACATACCACTGTTGGAGGCTCCCAGCCAGTGCTTTGATGATTGTATTGCCTTCTATTGCAAGCTTAGGTCTCTGTTCTGGCTCTTCAACTGAACTACTTGCTCGCTGATCTCATGGATCTTTGTACACCACTGGACGACAGAAGATCACCAGGCAGCTGTGCTTCTTCAAATATCTACAAACATTGATACCATTTTTCATTTCTTCTGCAATTATACCTTTTCTCACACTGAGATGCTTACAAAAGTCCCCCCCAAAAAATCCAACTAAATCTCAAACCTTTTAATCAACAACACAGCTGATAAGCATTAATAAAAACCTCTTTTCTAAAAGACATGAGTTCATTAATTCCACCTGTCTTTCCTATTAAAAACCCCCAACTATTCTACATGCTTTTCCCTGTTGTAGAGGAGTAGCTCTACATAAACCTGTGCTTAACATAAAGTATCATTAAAAGCAAGAGACTCCCAGGTTCCTGCCTTGATGCTTGATTTCATCATATAAGAGCTCAAATGTCTACGGTGAGTGGCTTTCAGGTGCAACATATTTTAAAACTAGAAGGCGAGAGCTCCTGTCTAAAAGAACCTCCTGACCTTTACTATATAAATAACTTGATCTCATTAAGTTATGTAATGAAAATCAGGTCAGAAATACATTTTAAAACTGCTTCGAGTAAGTTTTCAATGAGAGGATTTCTGTGCTTAGTTCAAGGAGAACTGAAAAAAAAACAAACAAAAAACTTAGCACCTACCATAGCACACTTGAAAAATGAAAATGAAACTACTGATGTTGTTATTCACAGAAATGACCACTTTGAAGCCTTTTTTAAAGTGTTAAAATACTACACTAATATAAATACTAATAACATATCCTGACTCCAAAACGTGCTACTTATCTCACCTTTGAGAAAGCAGGGTGACGAACAGGAACCTAAGAAGTTACATACTTTAAACATGAAAAGGTAGAAGAGTTCACTTAATTTTACTAAATCTTCACAATAGATTTCCAATAACCTTCAGTACAACAGGTTTCAAAAATTGCCCCAAAACACAAAGTTTCTTGGACACAAACCCAAAAAGTATCCTCAATTCTACATTTTTCCACAAGAGGACACTAAAATAATGACAAAAATAGTTGTACAAAAATGTACAACCATGTACCATTCCTCTTCATTAGCTAAGTAGAATGTTTTTCACTTAAAAACTATTCTGCAGTCAAGTAGACATTAATGTGTACTTACTTTTGTTCTAACGTGCATTTTAGTCATTCTAGTGATTAGTATTTGGCTTTTAGCGTGCCTCGGGTGACAAGAAAAACAGGTAATTTAAGCTTGTTGTAGACAAAAATCAACAATTAAGTGATACCACAGAAATAATCTTGTATTTAATTTGAAAATGCACTATTAACCATAAATTTACAGAGAAATAAGCACGTGCTTAACTTCACAGTATGACTTCAAAGAACAACTGGGCACCAAGAAGAGCACCTGTGTGTTAGTGGGATCAGGCCGCACTTACTCTTCCACTCCTTCTGCTGGTCGCCTAACCCCACAACCAAGCACCAGCAAGCTACGCCCCGATGTGAGAGAAAAAAGTGTGTAAAACAAACTAAAACTGCAGCCCACGTTCCCCACACCCCTTGGCTCTGGCAAGGGCCCCTTGTAGGCAGCAAAGCTCTGTGAAGCAAAGCAGACCTCCGTGGTGTGGGAGGCTAGATGGCTGGCTCCCTTGTCTCCCATTACCTCAGGACAGAGACCAAGTGCCTGAGCACGCTAACGGCCCGGCTGATGAGCCCTGCTCTCGCGAGCGGGGGAAGGCCCCCACGCCCATGGGAGGCCCTTGTAAGCTCTCTCCCACACCTGCAAGCCATGATTTCCGGATACACTGCCTCCTCACTTACCCAGCGCAACTCAATTTTAATCACTTGCTACTCTCTCCCGTTGCAAGCCCGGGGACCATGCGGCGCGGAGGGAACCTCCCGCACCGCCACGGGCGGGGTGAGGAGGCAAACGGCGGCAACAGGGTCCTCCCCCGCGCCCAGCCCACCCTGAGGCCCG